TACACGTGCTACTTTTTTTTTAATTTCTATTTATTATTAATCTCAAGGTTAGAGCTACATGTTATTATTTAGTCATGTATATCAATGTAATAGTAACACAGTTCAGTGCTCAATAAAGTGAGGAGAGTACTGATTTAATTTTTTGAAGTTCGTTAAAAAAAAAAAAAACTAATTTGTAACAGTATAATAATTAGCTTTAATAATATGTAATAATATGAGCTTTTAATATAGAAATATTTTTCTAATTTCATCCTAGTTTGTTTAATGTTTACTGGTTTTAATTCGTTTTACAAATTAAAATGATGTCAAATGAAGAAACAGTAAAGAAAATATAAGAAATTTTTGCTTTTTGCAAACAAGAGACTTGATCTAATAGTGGTTAAATGTTACTACATACACAATTTGCTCGGATTATTAAACCGATTTCTTAGTCCCGATCTTGAAATCAAAGTTCAATATGTTACAATACGTCGATATGTTTATCTCTGTTAAATTCCAACTATAATCTATTCTTGCATTTTTAAAAACAGCGTTCGAAATATTCTTTAGTATTCAATTTACATAACCTTAAACTTATATTTTTGAAGGATCAAGTACAGTATGGTATAGCAACCCCTGTTATAAATCGACTAATTAATAATAGTTGATTTATTAATGGGATAACCTATATTATACTTGTTCCTTTTGAACCCTTTTGAAGGATTTCAGTTCACGTGGCATTCTAAAAACAAATGCCATAGAACAAGAAATCGTAATAAGGCAGGGTTGCACAAAGGAATTTTTTTATACCCTAGTCACTATCGCTATATCAAGATCGCAAGGTATAAATCAGTTATACCATGGGTACTATGTATATAAGCGGAAATTTCATTTCTGATTATACCCAACTACCCAGGATATAACTATTACTTAAAACCCAAAAAACGATTTACTATTGCACTTGCTTCCAATTTTTAATTGGCTAATTTACTATTCTTTTTACATGATTATAAATATCAATTTTTTTAAAAAAATTTCACAATTTCAATATAAGAGACAGTGGGCTTTCGAGTTTATTATTTATTATTTATCCAATTCAGCCTTAAAGTGTCTGATCGACTAAATATATATTTAAAAGCCTGAATGTTTGTCATCATATATAGGGCTGAATTTTATAAATAATAAATAATAAATTTAAAAGCCCAAAGTCTCGTTTTTCCTTAGCGGATTCATGTACATAATGATTAGGAAATTATATTACTAATTGTACTAATTGCATAGTATTCTGGCGTGCTGATCATAATTTTGTTAGTCTACTTCAGCTACTTCAGTATATATAATACTTGAATATTGGTAGAAGGAAAGGATTGAAACGTTATGTTTGCATTTGATCGGGCGATTGTCGATATTTCGACAGTTCATAAAGTTTTCAGGGGTTATTTACAGCGATCATAAATTTATATACATAGCAATATAGGAAACATTATTAATTAAATGTATATAGCAGCATCACTTATACTGAAAAGGTTATACTGAAAAGGTTCATTCAAAATATCGAAATATAGGAAAATTTGTCGCAAAGTAACTCTCGGGAATTTTGTCAATACGTATGCAAAATTTATCGAAGTCACTTTATAGTAAAAAATTTTATTTATACTATATGTGTTTATACATCTACAGTATATATCGATATATTCAATGAATATAAGATTCATTTATAAGGCAATTTTTAACCTAAAAGAGATAAATAAAAACAAAAAACCGATGTCTAAGCCTTCTAGTAAACATTTCGTAAATAATTTCATATATGTATAATATGTAATGCCAGTCTTGATTCTAAACCATCTTTTTTCCGGACCAGATCTCAAACGCAGAAGGTTGCCTTCGTTTAGGGAAACAATTCTAAATGAGTTCAGAGTCATTTAAGTTTGACATTGAGCAGCTGCAGAAGCTGGTCGATCCCAAAAATTTAGAATTGCTTCAAGATTATGGTGGTCCTGACAAAATTCTTGATGGTTTGGAGACTAACCGTGATCATGGTTTAAGTTCCGATGAAGATAAAGAGAAAAGACAAAAGCATTTTGGAAAAAACGTATGATTTTCTAATCGACTACTATCAATGTTGCACATCGATTAATATTTAAATCTTAGGTTTTGCCAAAAGTTGATCAACAATCATTTTTATTTCTGGTTTGGGACGCTTTTTGTGATAAAACCTTAAGTAATATTTAAGATGTTTAATTTCCAATATTTGCGTCTTTTCCATTATTTTGATTAAAAAGTTCAAATTTATTTTTATAATTAGTTTTATTAAGTATTGCTGCACTTGTTTCTCTTGCACTTGGTATCGGTGAAGATTTATCAAATCAATCTGATGAACCAGATCTTGGTTGGATTGAAGGTAAACGAATTTTTTTTTATCTTAGATATTATATTAAATGCAATACATATCTTTACACTGTTATATAGGTTTTGAATTTTCCCTATTTTTTTAGGTACCGCAATCCTTGCTGCAGTTGTTGTTGTAGTTCTAACGAACGCGATAAATAACTATCAAAAGGAAAGGCAGTTTAGAAAACTTAATGAAAAAAAGGAAGATCGTAACATAAAGGTGATTTCGTCGGATTAAAGTGCTTTTAGTACTGAGTAATAAATAACTTTTATTGTTAATTTGTAGCTTATTCGAGATGGTAAAGAGAGACAAATTTCAGTTTTTGATGTCTATGTTGGCGACATCATGGTAAATCTATGAATGTTTTTTGTTTGTACTTTTTCAAGCTTACATTTAATGTTAATACTCATTACACAGGTTCTTGAACCTGGTGATATAGTTGCTGTTGATGGTATATATTTAAGTGGCCACAATCTCACTTGTGATGAATCTAGCGCTACCGGTGAATCAAAAGCCATAAAAAAAGGTGATAAAGATCCTTTCATATTAAGTGGAGCAAAAGTTACAGAAGGAGTTGGTAGAGTAGTTGTTATTGCTGTTGGTAAATAAAAATTTATGTTTAATACGTTGCATGTTTACTTAATATGTCATATATATCAGATGTTATAATTTACTTTGCAAATAGGCGAACACTCTTACTTTGGAAAAACCATGATGGTGAACATACACTTTTGCAATTCTTATAATATCTTAACAAGTTTTC